CAGGCTGGCTGGAGTGACCATTGTTTGCAATGAGGGGATTAAGCTCCTCTCTAATTAAGGACATTCATCCCAAAGAGTGTCTGGGCTTAAAAGACTTCCAATGCGGCACCTAGTTGTCTGGGGGAGGGGACACACTGAACTCTAATCTGATCCTGTCAGGTATACATTCTGTGTGCTTCCTTCAATTAAGCAGATCTTGTTTTCCACCTCAACATTGGTGTTGTCTAATGATTGAGTGGTTAGCGTTCTGTCCTAATATATTGGTATTCCCAGCAGCAGATGGAGCAGCTGGAAAAAGGTGCAGCTGACACTAGTCCCCAGTGGCTGAGTACTTCCCAAGGAGAGGAATTAGCTGTCCCTTCATCCCAGAGGCTGGAAGAATGATTAAGCTCCTCTCTAATTAAGGACAGGTATAAATTCTGTGTGCTTCCTTCAATAAAGCAGATCTTGTTTTCCACTAGACATGTGCGAAAATCGAAATTCGGACGAATTTTCGGAAATTCGGACATTCGGATGTATCCGAATTCCGAATTTGTCCTAATATATTGGTTCTGTCCAATAATTAGGCAGGTTTGGGCTGAGGACACTGGGATTCGGGTTCCAGCGGAGAGGAAGCTGTTTTCTGACGGAGGTACCCAGTCGGGGTACCAGGCGGTCCGTCACAATTATGATGTGCATTTGGTGATGTCAGAGGCTTCACTTGAGGCCCCCTATATCATTTAAGTTGACTATTACTTGTAATTCTACCCTTTATTAGTGGCAATAACGTCACTACTTGTATATTATATCATATTCATATACTGTCTGAACACTGAAAAATGGCCTGGCCAGGAAGGGGGTCTAAACACCTGGTCTTGAAGTGGTTAAATAGAGTGCAGATTAATTTCAATTAATCAATCAATCAATCACACGAAAAACATTTTTCAGTTTATTTATTTCATTTGCACATGATTAGGTATTTAAACTAAATGCAGATTCAATTTATTGGATGAGGATCCACAACTAAATTTGTAAATGTCATTATCTCTGAAGATTGTGCCATATATGAATGTACTTATTGTCTTGTAATTTTTATGTTAGAGCCAGCCAGCTGCTGTGTGCTCCTAGCTTGGTAGGTCCCAGCCAGAACATCTCTTTCTGGTGAACTGTATGCATCATTAAGTCTTGCCCTACCTGTTAGCAGCTGAGGAAAAGCAGGCTGCATAATTCTCTTATTGTGGATTGCCTCACAAAAATATATTATTTTGCAGCATACCATTCCCTAGATGTAGTTTTAAGCAAATGGGCAAAGGATCCCAGGTGACATCACTGATCAAATATGGTCATGACTAGGGATGCACAGAGACCAGTTCAGAAACCAGTGCCGATACTTGGCATTTTCACGAGAACTACCAGGGTTGCAGCTGCAACTGGGCCCTGGCACCCCACCACTGTCCTGAAAGCATTAGTCTTTATTGTTTTAGAAAAACTGTCATATGACAATAAACAAAAAGGTATCAGAAATTGGTATCTGTGAGGGCAAGTATTGGTACTTGTACTTGATCTAGAAAAAATGGTATTGGTGCATCCCCTAATATATACTGTGTGTATACAGTATATACACAAAGCCGTTGATATGCAGACACTGGCAACAAGATCTCCCTATCTAAATGCATGCTCGTGGCCCTGCAGCCTCTGGAAAACTTCTCACCAAGCTTCTTACTGATAGTCTTGTAGCCCATTCCAGCCTTGTGCAGGTCTACAATCTTGTCCCTAACGTCCTTTGACAGCTGTTTGGTCTTGTCCATGGAGGTTTGAATGGAAGAAAGATATTCTGTGGACAGGTGTCTTTTATATACATAATGAGTTGTCGTTAGGAGCACCTTCTTAAATTGACAGGACTAATCAGTGTACCACATAGCCAGTCTGTGGGAGCCAAAATTATTGTTGGTTGGTAGGGGATCAAATACTTATCTTACTCGCTGAACTGCAACGTAACTAGTATCGGTAATTGGTATCGACGAGTACTTGAAAAAAAGTATCGGTAGTCGTACTCGGCCTTAAAAAAGTGGTATCGGTGCATCCCTAATAAAAATTATAGACCTTTCATTTCTTTGTAAGTGGGCAAACTTACAAAATCTGCAAAGCATCAAATAGTTATTTTCCTCACTGTATCATACATTAAAACAGGGATGCACAAATCCCAGGAGGCCCGTAGCCAATGCTCCTTAAAAATGACAGCTGCTTCCTAACTTTTTTGAGTTTTTCCTCTAATCTAGTGACTGGAAAAGTATCTGTACTTGTAAGTATCTGAGCATCCCTAGTCATGGCCATTTTTGGTCAATAATGTAACCCGGGATACCTGCAGCTGTGTTGACATTGCAGCAGCTCAGGGTCATTTTATTTGCAACAGGTGTAGTAGCAGAAGAGAATCATTGTGGCAGCTTGTCTACACATCATCAGGTGTCACTCATCATGACTGACCTGGATCTATGTTGTTAGACAATGCGATTGACATTGCATTTACATTGGGGGATATCGTTGAGCTCCTTACTAGAAAGCGGGCTTCCAGATTCCAATAAGTCCTCCCCCAGTGACCTCCACATCTCTTTTTGTGGCACAGAATGTAGGAATGCAGTCCTTGTTCCCATCAACAAGGTGCCATGCAAGGCAGGGTCACTTTGAAGCTCGCTGTCAGGAAGCCAGAGCCAGAGTCGGAGCCAGGATTCTTTCACCGCCGTTTGCACCGCCGTTTGCAGCTAATGGTGCAGCTAATAGAGTTGTATCAGGTGCAGCGTCTCTGCGTAAACATGCACCCGCCGACGTGTTGTTTGAGTTTTTGGCGCCCTCTGGGCTATATAAGGCTGTGACTAACAAACCTCCTTTGCTGTCAGATCGTCAGCTTCCCTGTGTTCCTGTATTCTGTTCCTGAAGTGTTTCTGTTATCTTGACCCGGCTTGGCTTTGACCTTTCTGCTTCTCTCCAGTGATTGACCCTCGGCTTGTTCCAGACCATCCTCCTGCCTCATCCTCTGTACCACGTTGCCTGCACGTTGATGACCTCGGCCTGTCCTGTCTACCCTGCTATCCTTGTCTGCTGCTCCTGCTCATCGGATTCAGCTACTACTGGCACTCCTGCCCCTCTGTGCCCCGGTACTCCTGAACCCATTCAGGTGCCCCAGGACCAGAGAAGCGAGAGAGGCCGCCCTCGACATCTCAGACTCCCCTAAGGTACGTGACACTGGCCTGACAGGCTACATGCCTGGATAAATGTCTGGTTTGAATTGCCAGGAGAACCCGACAGTTAGTGACATCACCCGAGATCCCTGCCGCCTTGTTAACAATTTCAAACAGAAGTCTGTGGGGATCTGTTATTCTAATAAAACGTACCTTACCCTATAAAAGAGAGAAGAGAAGGGACCACACAGGAGAAGAGTCTAAGGTCATGTGTGCTTATTAAAATACAATTCATTTTTTTCTTGAAGGCATTCTACAAGAAATCTAAATAGAAGTCTAAAGTGTGATACATTCTCTTTGTAACAAGGTCACAAGAACACCAGCCAACATTTGTTGTGCAACAATTGAATACACAAAGTCATGAACAGACTACACAAATATACCTAGAGGAACAAATTTTGCAATCAAAATGCAAACTTGTACTTTTATATCTCAAATCCAAATGAACAGTACAATATTGTATCTTATCCTATAATGTATTTACTTTCTTACTTGTCATATTTACTTACTAGTCCTACATGTGTAATAATGTCACATTTCTGTATTCACCATATTATCTTTTTCAATTTTGAATGTCGTTTGTAGCTTTTCAACAAATGAGTGTACATAAAGAACCATTGTTTAATATAATAATTTTTTGCATCACTGTTTCAACCAACCCTCACCAATTTTAAATTTTTTTAAGTCAAAATGACCTGGTTTAAAGGGTTATTAAAGCCTCAACCACAAAAGAATGATTCCTGGAGGACAATCAGTACAACGTGTGCTGATGGATCCTCCAAGGAAACACAACAATAATTATGGGTTTGTAACATCGGCACATTTCCTTAGGGGCAGACCCTATGTTGGTTATTAAAGCCTCCCCTTTTTTTACATATATCTACTGCTAGCAAGCAGTAGATATATGCAAAAACATAAAAAAAAATTAAAAAACGTTTCAAAAGGGTTTAAACTTACCTGTGTGTCTGCCACACGCTCCCGTCCGAACATCTGAAGATTCTGAGGCGGCCGCAAAGGATCTTCGGGCGGGCGCATGCGCAGTTCAGATCTTCGGCCGGGAGACGAGGAGAGACACAGGGTAAGTCAACACAGCAGCTTGCACTCTCACAGACACAGTGGGACAGGAAGTGCCAGTTAAGAGAGCGGAGTCAGCACTGTATCGGAGACCGGCACCAGCGCTGAAGGGACTCCTGAAAACTACAAGTAAGAAGATGATTGGATTTTTCTACGATAAGAATCCAGATGATTGATTTGAAGACTAATATAAATTCGCCAAGCAATTTATTAGGAACACTATACTAATATTGAGTAGGCCTTCCCTTTTCTCTGAATACAGCCTCAGTTCTTCATGGGATGGATTCCATATTCCACAAACATTCCTTTGATATACAGGTCCATGTATTATAATTGTATGATGCAGATTTGTCAGCTGCTTATTCAGCTGCAAATTTCTGGTTCTACCACATCCCAAAGGTGTTCTATTGTATTCAGATCTAGTGACCAGCCTACTATCTGTGTACTTCAGCAAAAATTTAGATTTGTCAGACCAGGATACATTTTTCAGTCTTCAATTGTTTAGTTTAGGTGAGCCTGTGCCCCCTGATTTTTGTTTTAAGTATTATTCATTAGGGTCTGTTACACTCTACAGCCCAATCCCAAGCTAAAAACTAAACAATGAGCTAACTTCCATTGAATGCATGTATCTACCTTCTTGTCTAGTGCTTAGACCTGATAGGTTACGTTAAACTGTAAAATTATATAGTTTTATTTAGTAAGTCTACTCACCACATTTGGGATAGGTGACAATCATTAAATCATCATCTCTAGCTTCAAATGTTTCCAGTGCCTCAAACATTTCCTTACTGCAGATGGTGCTAGGATACAGAACATCTTTATAATTAAATAGTAAATCCTCAGCTGAGGTTTTGCCAGGTGCAAAATGCAAAATGTCCAGCAACATTTCCCGATCTGTTTTTTGCTTAGACTGAGCCATGTCTCACTGTTGAGAATAATACCTGGAATGGTCAATGATTGCACAGCTCCCTGATTATATAGGCAACAGGGTGTGTTTGTACCTTGCAGGACACTCACTGTCAGGTGCCAAGAATGCTCAGTCTTATTGCCAGCGTAATACAATACCCAATAATAGTCTATTAGTAACTAAATATTATTCTTCATAAATCATCACAACATTCGTTTTTACACACTTGTAAGATAATAACCATTAGCCAGGCTCTATGTTCAATCTGTATTCACCGATGTATTAGTCAGTTTTAATTTCACAGACATACAAAATGCCATTATGAGTTTTTATTGCATTGCACATGTGTTCAGTATATGGTAAATATAAGATATGCACAATAGTGTTATTAAATATATTAACACTTTTTTGTATTAATATAAAATGAATATACAGCTTGACTGTGCGATTTAACATTACAAAATCAATATGTGCATTTAGCAAAGAACTTATTTTAGGCATGGTATTTACATGTAAAAGCCTCCCTTGCGTACACATCCAAAAACATTAAGGGCTTGTCCGCACTATGGACAGTGCGTTCCAGAGCAATCATCTGCTGGAACGCACTGTATCGCATCCTGGTTGCCTTCCTGCATTCAGAGCCGAGAGGGAGCGTGGCGGTGCATTGAAGTCAGTGGCACCGCAGCCAGGCCCCCTGCTCGCAGTGCGATTACCCGCACCAGAACGCGTGGCACCTCAGTGCCTGCGTTCCGGTCCAGTGCGTTTTAAAAAAATGCTGCAAGCACCATTTTTTAAGATTGCACTGGACCAGAATGCTGGGACAGATGTGCCAGGGGTTCTGGTGCGGGCAGTTGCACTGCGGGCTAGGGGCGTAGCCGCAGTGCCATTGACCTACCCCGAAAATAAGACCTAGCACAATTTTTGGGAATTGCTAAAATATAAGACCTACCCCGAAAATAAGACCTAGTTGTGACCATTGCCAGGGCCGGTGGGAATGGTCACATAAGGGGGAACTTAGGGGTAGAGAATCAGAGGTAAAAACGAAGCCAGCTCTAAAGGAAGCGAGGCGGCAGTGAATGGAGCAGAGCCAAATACGCCAATGTTTCTTCTATAGCGCCGGCTCCTGTCACAGGCGGAGTGATACCAAATGCAAACCGCATGTAAGGAAACGATAGTGATAGTGCGCTTCGCTTATTGGTTACCAAATTGCTCTTGGAAAGGTGCGGCAGCCCCTGATTGCCCTGATCACCCTGATCTTAACTTTGCCATTTTGGATTATTTCATTTGGATTTGCATTAACTTTGGATTGTTGTACATAAAAAAAAAAAATAAGACTTACTCCGAAAATAAAACCTAGTGTGTTTTTTTGAGCCAAAAAAACATAAGACAGTGTCTTATTTTCGGGCAAACACTGTACTAGTATCATTATTGGTGCCGATACCGAGTATTTGGGCGAGTACTCGTATTTGCGCAAATACTCCGATATTTACCTCGGATACCAGAAATTCCGGTCAGAGGGAGATCTCCCTCTGACCGGTAATGCTGAGTGAGCATGGAGCCGGCTTCCTTTCCAGTCAGGAAGCCGCCCGGTAGGTTAAGACCCGACCCCTGGCTTCACATGTTGCTAAGCAGCCTAGCTTCCTAACCAATCAGGAAGCCGGGCGGCACCTAATGAACCACCTCCCAACCTCCTGATTGGAAGCCAGGCTGCCTAGGAACAAGTGAAGCCGGCTTCCTAGCCAATCAGGAAGCCGGGAGGCAGGTCAAGTCGTGCCGTCCGGCTTCCTGATTCACTTGTTGGTAGGCAGCCTGGCTTCCTAACCAATCAGGAAGATGGGCGCTACGCGATGACTTGTGTCCCGGCTTCCTGATCGGTCAGGAAGCCATGCTGCCTAGAAAAAAGTGAAGCCGGCTTCCTAGCCAATCAGGAAAATGGGAGTCACAAGGCACCGATACCGGGTACCAAAAAAAAAATATATCGGTACTCGTACTCTATACCGAAAAAAACCTTATCAGTGCATCTCTAATGTGCACCAACATGGAATCTTGGTGCTGATGTGCTGGTGACATCTGTATTGGAGTTCTGTTGAGATATCCACTAAGGAGTGTGGCAAGGAATATGGATACTGCTTTGTATAGTCCATATCTGGGGACCTGTGGCACTCTGGCAAGTTGTGATTAGCTCCATATGATTTGTGATACATTGTGATTAACTCCAATGTTATTTAATCACAAAATATATACATAGTGCAAAAAAATTGCCACGAGGCCGCTACAGTTTTCGTGTTTGGCTAGAAAAAAAGGTGGCAAAACTATCTGGAACGCACTGTTTATAGAGTGAACAAGCCCTTAATGTTTTTGGATGTGTACACAAGAGAGGCTTTTACATGTAAATAACATGCCTAAAATAAGTTAAATGCACATATGATCTTTGCTAAATGCACATATGCATTTTCCAATGTTAAATCGCACAGTAATGCTGTATATCCATTTTATATTAATACAATGAAAGTCTCAATATATTTAATAAAACCATCTAACTAACTATGTAACTAACTTCTCCCTCCCCTGTACGCAGGAAGCCAGCAGGGATATTGTGAAGGAATATGGATCAAGAAAATGTCCTTTTCTATGTTTTAAATTGTTTTGAATTTGTTTCATTTGCTTCCTAGCTTTGTGACTTTCCTTACTCAGCTTTTAGCGTTGCTATGCGTAACCAAGAGAGATATCCTGTATTCGGGAGCGCGCCGAGGACACATGAAAGGAATGCCGAGGGAGGACGCTACAGGCAGAAGATATCTTTGACTAACCAATTAGCGAGAGACACAAGACTTTAACTAACAGTTCCTCTAGTTTGCCCAATAGTACAAGACATTTAGAGATAGCAGAGGTGGGCATATGTGTGACGAGCACTCTCCTGTTATCTGTGTATAAAGGAGAGAGACCGCCCTGAATAAAGTAGATGCGTCATAAACCTTAATCCTGAGTTTGTGATTTCTCCGGTGCACCGAAAACGACATAATTAGGAACAGCAGCAGACATCTTGTGTGAACCCAGTTGTGGTTCAGATCCATTTCAGCTGGCGCCCAAAATCGTGGGGCCCTGGGTTCCGATCCAAGAGCAGCCGTGACATGCGGGCAGTTGGCTGAGGGCCAGACAGACCAAGGGGGCTTGCGCAACCCTGAGAGTACGGTAGGCATATTTCAATATCTTACCACTGTACTACTTGTTTCTGTCTGATCCACTGTCACGTCCACTTGGCTGTTCGAGGACGGCAAAAGGCAGGTAAACTTTTCCTTGCCCAGGGCTGTTTTGCTAAGAACCTGCATCAGAGATTTCTGCTGGCTGTGTGTGTGTGTTATTTGTTTGTGTGTTTTGCGGCTCTGGGCCGAGGCTGAGCCGAGCTAAATGAATTAGCTACAGGATGCTGATCCTGGCTTGAGGTGTTTGCGACTCTGAACCAAGGCTGAGCCGAGCTAAATGAATTAGCTACAGGGGGTCATCCTCCTCTCGGTGAGCTGTATGCCCCGAGAAAGAGGAACCCTGTAGTGGGCGTCTACGGACGGAAATCCCGGGTGACGTATCGGTCACCCCGAGGCGAGCTTAGCCGGTCAGCCAGTGGTTCAGTTCC